CGTTGCGATATTATGAGGAGAATTTAAATAACAGAAGTAAAATTATTAAATAATTGCGAAAAAAGATTTTACCTTTTGTCTCTTATAATAATTAACTAGATGTTTTTTTTTTTTTTTTTCGAAAATATCAGACCTGAAAATTTCAAAAGAATAGAAGCACGTAATTTAAATCAACACTATATTGTTGTTGGTATAAAATTATTATATCGTGCCCAAGCAGAATTTTTAAAAGCAGCAAATTTGTAAGAGTTTTTTAAATAGATAAATATATTAATTATATAAAGTGAACATGACACTATATAATTTTATATTGTATCAAAATTTCAAAAAGATCTTATAAATCTATTGCCTGAAATATATTAATTTATATTTATTTTTTATATATAAATAAATATACATTTATATAATAATATATTTATTATTACATAATTATATGTATATATTTGTATAAAGGAATAAATAAATATATAATACATATTATTTAGAGTCAAGATTTTGCACACGAAAAATCAATTTCCGTTAATTAAAGGTTCCTCTAATATGAAAAGATCTCGCAAGTCTATCTTATGTCGGGCACATGCTTGTTAGCAGGTTCGACGTAGACCGCGCGGTAAGGGATCCTTTCCTCCGACACTACGTTGTTCGGTCTCAGGAGTGCTTAGCTATATAACTTGACCTAGTGCGCGCGGATAAGAAACGCGGCTCTATATGTGTCCCTCCGCCACGCGCGAAACGCGTTTCGCTGCCGCCTCCTGGTTTATTGATCTCACCTATCTCGCCACGACATACCTGCACACCTCTCCCTCGCTGCCCGAAACGCGTTTCGACGTTACCGCACTTCGCGAATCTTCTCGATCGGGCGGTGCCAGGTGAAAAGATTCAGTCGCAGCTTCCTTTCTTCGACCCTTCGTTGCTTTGCTATCAGGTCGGTTTTATTTATCTCATTGTTTCGAGATATCGTATAAATATTGAGTTGAAATTCGAACGCGCGATTTACTTCAGTCCAATTCCCCATCTCCAGGTCATTGCGAAAGGCGCGAGGTTTGAACTGCGAATTTAAGAATGTTTTAACTATACACTATTTAGAACTTTTAGAATGAATTATCATTTTAAAATCTCATTCTTAAAAATTGAAGATTGTGACTTTTTCAAGATTGGCACAATTACTTTTTGTAGTAAGATTCCAAAAAATTTAGAAAACAGTATCAGTCAAACAATTATTATAGTTACGTAAAATAAACTAATATCAGCCAATACTTATCATTCAAAAAATTTTTATGCAGCAAAATTACCATATTTTTCTGTAGTTTTAAATTAATAATTTTTAGACAAATAAGTGGATCCAAATAAACTTTTGCACGAATATTTATTACCGTTTGATTAGTATATATCTAAAATTTCACTTAATTCTTAATGTTACTTCCTCACAAAATTTGCAAATAAATATTACAAATTTTTACATAATTTTACGCGATTTTACGTAAGACTTAAGACTATTCAAAACTAACAAAAATATGAAGTAACTTTAATAAGAGAATTATGCCAAAAAGAAAATTATATTCAAAAATTTTACACAGACATTCAAACATAATAATGAAGCAATCTATGCAATTTTTATATTTTTGGTAATGTTTGTTGAGAGATGACCCATATATGTGTCCGTCGAAATATATCTCTTTGCTATAATTTTTTCCTGCTTGTCTTGAAGACACCAAAGAATATCATATATCTCTTAGATGTTGCCCAGTTATCGCCGAAAAAGAGACAAATCATTAATGATAATTGTAAAAGTTTTATTTATTGAAATGATCGATGTTAATTAGATAGCGATAACGGTAATAGCACCAATAATTATAATGCTGACGAAATAATGAATAATTAAATACTGATAAAAAAGTTACAAATAAGCAATCTCGAATTTGTCCGTTTCGAATTTGCGCATTGATATTTATTCATTATTGCTGAAATTATTAAAAAATAATATATAATTTCAACAATGATGAAAATTTAATTATTTTTTATATAATCATGAAAAATGATTAAATTTTTCATTATTATTCTCTATTCGCTATTATCCTCTTATTGTCATTTACAATAGTTATTGTTATTTCTGTTTTATCATATATAGGTATTAAATATAGGTATATACTAAATATTAGGGTGGACCGAAAAAAAAAATTTTTGAAAATCGATTAGCAATACCTCCCAAAGTTAATTATGAACTTTAATATGATCTGGGTAAAATTTCACTGAAATTAATTAATATCTTCAGATTGCCCCTCAACCTTGAAATTAGTAAGTTTATGCATTTTTTTTCAAAATTCGAAAAATATTTTACTTTTAATACAATTTGGTACTTCCTGTTTTTTTTATCGCTGAACACGAATCCGAGGTCAGAAGTACACATTTCAAAATGGTGGATTCGCAATATATTCTTATAGAAGGAAATTTCTTATTATGCGAGATATATATAAATAGCGCAAATACATTAATTGCGGATATAAATATGTATATCTATATAAATATGTACCCTACTATATAAATATGTATATATATATATATATATATGAGTAAATATAATACGTATGTATATGATTCTTACATTTATGTCGCACTTTCAGAACGTCTTTTATTCTCGAAAGAATTACAAGAAACCGGAGATCCAAATATCACCGCATCAGACGTTCGAGGAAGAAGTCGCTCTACTGGATTCTCTCTTCTCTGGTAATTATCAGATTCTCAAATTACTTCTCACTCTATTATACAAAAGAAAAATAAAGGAAACAAACAGATAGTGATTAGATCTTTAAAATTTAAGTAAGTTGTCTTTACATTATATCTGAAGGATTCGAAAGCTTATTGAAAGATTTATTGGTCCCATCACTATAGCTCTATTTCTTGTTTCAGATGGCGAAGCTTACTGCATGGGCTCGCCCGAAACAGACTGCTGGTATCTGTACACCTTGATTCGCGATAAGTCGTTGCAGGACCCACCGGAACCGGATCAAACTTTGGAAATACTCATGACGCATCTAGATCCGGACGTAATGTCGATCTTCACCAGAGACGTCTGTTCGTCCGCCGATGAGGCGACAGTCAAATCGGGAATTGACAAGCTCATCCCCACTATGATCATAGATGATTTCCTGTTCGAACCATGCGGATATTCTATGAACGGGATATCTAAGAACGTGAGTCGCAAGTATTGAGAATAATTTTAAACAAATCATTTAATTGTAAGATTAGAAAAGATGAATAGTTCTTAAAGTAATATTAATGTGTGTGTGTGTGTGTGTGTGTGTCTGCTCGCGCGCGTGTGTAGGAGAAGGTGATACTTCTTTATATTTTGTATAATAACTTTGTTAATAATCAATATTTAGTGTTTAATATTCAAGAACTTAGTGATTTGTCAAAGTATTGTTCAATCGATTCTACTCAAAATAGAAATATTTATTACTTAGAACGTTATTTATAAAAATATGGGGACATTACATAATAAGTTGAAAAGGAGCATGAGTGATAATTTGGCTTCTATCAAAGTAGATTTTAAAAAATTGGTTTCTTTTAAGAAATATAGTGCTTGATTTCTCTCACAAAATTATGTACAATAAGAAATATTGTAAAATGTATACAAATATATATACTTACATACATATTTTTTCCATAGATAGGTTGTCAGATTAAAAATCTATGAAACATATAATGTGAACTATAGATCAATAGAGCTACCAAGAACTTATCGAATAACTTTGATGTAAAAATATGGAAAAAATAGGTCATATTATCAACACGTTTCGGGAGCAGTAAAATGTCATGCTAAACAATTTTGCTGACATAGCTCCCTTGATAATACGATCTGTTTTTGTCAATTTCATATCGAAGTTATTCGATAAATCCTTTGTAACAAAATGCCAGCATGGCATTTAAGTTTAAGAAGAAAGTATAATTAAACGTTCAAATGTTGAAGACATTTCAAAATGCTGAAAATAAAAATGCGTTACAATAAATTTCATTACGTATTAGTGTTATTATTATGTAACGGCAATCAAATGATTCATAATTAATCTAGAATTTATCGAATAGATATTACAAAAGTCATTATGTGTATTTATAAGGACCATAATATCACCTTCTCCTCTGATATATAAATTCTCAGTAAAGAATACTTTAGATATAATTAAGACTCTCTCCTGATCTCTACTTGTCACTTAAAGAATAATATGATAGAATATCATTCTTCATATCTAATGTGTTGTAACCTGATATCGTTGATATGATAGTAAACGCGGGGAGTCTTAATTATTCATGATGCATCGAGGTACTATTTTCTGCATCTGTTTTCAGGGCAGCTACATGACGATCCATATCACGCCGGAGCCCGAGTTCTCGTATGTGTCGTTCGAGTGCAATGTCTCGGAGACATCGTACGACGAAATAATCCGTCGCGTGCTGAACACCTTCAAGCCGGGCAAGTTCGTCGTGACGATCTTCGCTAACAAGCAGTCCGCGGCGGCTAACTGTCCGCGCGAACTCGAGAAGCGATCCGATTATTTGAATCGCTCCGGCGATTGGCTGCGCACCGACGTGCAATACTGTCGCTTCCCCAACTACGATTTGACTTGCGCCTTCTTCTCGCGTTTCCCAAGCTGAGGGTTCAAGGACGCTTCATTCGTCTCGCAACCCGAGACCAATGAAGCGCGCACTACTCCCGTTTCTCCCTGCTTTCCTCTCCGTGATCGCTATCGCGACGGCGCGATGACGACCCCGAAGAGCGAAAACAGAGAGTACTCCACCTCCCCGCAGTCACCCACTCTTCGGGGTCGTGACGTTTTCAGCACGATCCCGAAGAGCGTGATTGGCGCAGACGCTACAGTTCGCTCGGCATCGTTGCCGCAACTGACGACGAAGATGCCACGATCAAAAGTATACCGTAAGACATCACTTAAGAGTTCGTCTCTCAAGAGCGAGGTCGACGTCGGCGGTGACGGTAATGGCACTACTGAGAGGAACGGCGTTGTGCGATACATGAGCATCGCTGCGGAAAAGAAACAAAAAAGGAAGAGCCTCGTGGATAGAGACGTCGACGTGAGATGCGAAAATAAGTGGAATTCCGAGGACATCCACATCACATGCAATCCCCTGTCGACGCCCTATCCGTATTCGACGCCGGCGGCGACCACCACGACGACGACCACCACCACCACTGTCACCACCACCAGCAAGACGGCTGCAACAACGATGGTAGAGAGTGATGAGGAGCCGAAGAGTCGCAGCTGCGGCAGCTTCCTACCAATACTTGCCCTGATCCCACACTCTGTCATCAGCTTCCAATATCTCAGCCCGAAGATGAAGTTCTCATGGTGGCGAAACAAGATCTCGTGAAGACACGCGTAGACGCCCATCGTCGTTGCTGTCGACGTTGTGCGTCGCGACGCCACCTCGACCTGTTTTATGAGGAGACACACCTCTCTTACCTCGTAGCGAGCTCTTTCTCTCTTTGCTTATATACCTATGTATTTCTCTCTCTCTCTCTCTCTCTCTCTCTCTCTCTCTCTCTCTCTTTCTCTATTTCTATGTATCTTACTTCCGGCCAGTCTTCATCAATTAGAGGAATCCCATCGTTATTTCTCAAATCCCATGTTGTTGAAAAGATGCATACCTCGTTAATATAAATAAACGCATTGCATGCGTAACATATTCGCGATAGTCCTCTAACGAGTTTCCGCGCGTAGTCACGAAGTTTGGTTCCGCAAAATATTGTCGAACATTTGAAAATTTTAACATAATGCGAAGATGTGACTGTTTAAGGTCCAAAGATTAACAGTCCGCGATTACAATAAACGAAATTTAAGATCAAAGGAACCAAACTGACTTTCTACGGAAAACGCTGTAACTTTTATAACACTCGTAGATCTTTCAACTCGCCGAAGAAAAAAATGTACGGTGTTTATTATATATACACACGGCATTTTTGATGCGTCGCCGGATCCTCTAGTCGATTAAAGTTCCTTCTTATGCGACGCGCTCTTGGCTTGTATTTTTTTCGAAAATCCGCTCGGGGAAAAACGTATTCAATCCCCATAGTCTTTGCTCTAAGAGATATCTAGCAAATGTCCAAACATTCTGGAATCCAAATCTGTGCCACTTCAGATCGAGCAGTCGTGCTTAATACAAGTTTTTTGCATCTACTGTTCCTTCTTTTTTTCTTCTTGTCTCAAAAATATAGAAGTATTCCAAGATTCTAGAGTACCTAAGTCAGACGCAAAAATTTTCTGTAAGAACTAATCCAAGAATCTAAAGACCGTAGAACCTAAGGATCCACAGTTCCTAGAATCTAACACCTAATGATCCAAAGACCCTAGAATCTAAGTATGCAAAGATCCTAGAACGTAAGAATTCAGAGATTCTTAAAATTTAAGAAGACACTTTAACGTTGTTAGAGCATAAGGATCCAGACTATTTCACGAGGGTGCGAGATCCAAGATAGAATCGAGCATTTTCGAAGATTCTAGAATGTAAGGATTTAAAAGAGACATTATAAAATCTAAGTATTCAAAGCTAATCTTCAAGCTCATCTTTTTGCTTTCTGATTCGTGCTTTTTATCTCTTGCCTTTTTTTGTTTCCTGTCTTACTTCGTTTTGTTGTCAGAGATAAAAATTGATGAACTCTGAAAGAGACAAAAAATATGATTGTCGATAAAATGTCATGAAGAGAGAGAAAGATAAGAAGTAAAAAACAAGAAAAACAGAAAGCAAAGAGCTGATTAGCTTTACCAATCAGACATAATATATCCCCCGATTAAATGGAGTTTTTTTTTGGCGAATTTCATTAATCATAGGCGAGTATTATTACAATTATAATTACCGAGATATGCAGCCGAGGATAATTGCATAAAAAAAGAAGAATATAACGAAAGCTTTACGTTACATACGATTAAAATATAACAGAGAGAAGAAATAGTTGGGGATGTCTTGATGAATGATTTCCGACTTCTCCGTTAAGAGAAATCGGGACACGCTGGAAGATGAAAAAAAAGACACTATTTTGTTACATTGTACGTATCAGGCTGGTTCTTTTTGCTGAACTTTTGCTTCATCTTTCTTTTTTCTCAAGGAAAGAAAACAGAGAGAGATGTAAGAAATTTAGCTGAAAAGAACAGGCCTATCATCATCAATATCGCGTGAGAATCACGTGAGAGAAGGGCGAGGATCGATCTCGTCACCGATCGTCTTTGTGGTCAGGAACGGTACGAGCCGTCTGTTTAGTCGAGAGACCGTGCATCGCGATGTGAGATCTTGAGTACTTTTCATTTAATGACACAAGTATCATTTTATCTTCCTTGGTACGAAGATGGAACTACACTTGATTTGTGGCATCAAATGAAAAACACCCCTTAGTAATTGTCAGGCGTTGAACGGAATGGCATCAACGCATGACTTTTTTACCTCTTTCTCTTTTTTTTGTTTAACAGTCAGCGTAGCGAACATTTTTATTTTTCTAAACGAAAAGAGACAATCTGCGCGTAAGAAATTTATTTTGCATATGAGTCGACCCGACTATTGCATATTAGATCAGCTACCGATGGACTCATTTCTCACTACAAATTGTTCTCTTAATTCGATGATATGATTCCTTATCTTGTTCTTTTTTCCTTTTTTTTACGGAATTATATGGCAGAGTGACACGTTACTGTTGCTATAACGAAGATTATTCGTAGAGCAACAATTACGTCTTTCGTATGTTTTCCGATTTTAATAAAATCATTTTCGTAAACACGCATCTTCCATAGTATCCTTTATTTTTATTGAATTTCCTTTTTTCCTGTTTTTTTTTTAAATTTATTTATAAACTTGTTATACGCACGCAGAATCGCTCGAACAATTATGAAATTCCTTGTTTTATTTTCGTTACTTCTATTTTATTTTGAAGATCATATCGTTGAAATAATTAATCATTTCTCGTTACGTCGCACACTCGTCAACTTACATTATGGTCGAAGCGAGAATATTGCAAATAGTCGAAGTATTAATATGTGATATCTTATTTAAATATTTTCTTAAAACGTTATACTTTGCATCCTTTTTTTTTTACAAATTTGACTCTGTTGTTTTCTATAATATATTTTATATTAATAACAGTTTTCTCGTCTCCTATGTCATTAATCATTAGATTCAATGACTTCTATGAAATAGATGAATAAGATCAATCGATGTGCGATAATAAGATAACGCGGTTAACGAGAGAGTACAAATAATTAATCTATATAAAGAATTTTAATCGATAGTGATGTCGACAGGATAGAAAGAGAAAAAAAGGAATATACTGTAACACATGGAGTGTTACTCTCAGAAGCATTACTATTCGTTGCTAATAGATCACTGTTGCATGCTAAAGTAAATTTTTGTGTAAAAAATATATCTATGAAATAAAGATTATATTTAGTCAATGAAAGTGTCATGCAATTTATTGCTCGCCCTTATTCTCTACGTAAATTAACATTGACCTTTTCTCTTCGAAGTTCTTAACTTTCTCAACAGTTTAAAATTTTCTTTATGCTCTAACATACATATAAACATTTAAAAAAGAATGATATATATATATATTTTTTTTTAATTTTCCTTTCAATTTATACACAAAAAGTGAAATATATAGGCTATTTTCAGTAGAGGAAGCTGTTTTGCAACTGTAGCAACATTTTTTAATGTTTGATCTATGCATTTCCATCTATGCAGATCCAGTGAGGAACTAAGAACAAAATTAATCGTATTAAAGAATTTTACAACTAATGGTGTATATTAATACCTATAATAGCCAACATAGGTTGTTCGTGTATGTAATAATAAAATTTTTATTAACGTTTCGACCCTAATTTCGAATCCTCCTCAATACACGAATAAAGAATATACGAACTACGATTAATATAAAATTAGAAATTGAGAAAAGTTTTATTATTACACACACGAACATCCTGTGAACTCATATATATGCATTAATATACACCATTAGATTTACTAATCTACTGAGCCTAAGATTATCACATTTTAATTTTACAACTCTGTTGTAAAACTGCTTTATCTGCCAAACGTAGCCATATATTTTTAATCTTGTTCTATTTTATTCGATATCCCTAAATTTGTGCGACGAGAAAATTATACGAGATATTTTTAAGAGGTTCGTTTTCACCTCTTCACACAGGACATCAGAGGGCGATCCACTGCCGTTAGATCATGGCGTTCAATTCCGTGTGTTCGCGTTGATTGAAACGTACGCGCATCCCACCGAACACGGCATTAAATCTGGATCGAAAACCCTGCTGGGCGCTCCGCTCCATTTCCGTGCACTCCTTTGCTATCGCGGACGTGTCTTCGTATTCGTTTCGGATTCTGTCCAGAGCTACGATGTGAAGAGCGAGTTAAGCTTGCAGTATTCTAAAACATCTTCTGAGAAGTTACATCAAGATGAGAAAGAAAGGTAGCATATATGAGCCAAGTTGTGGAGTACACTTATTCTGATGCAAAAGAGTGTTTATCCTTCATAGGAATCCCTAGAATATGAATCAAATATACCAGCTTTTCCCCAGAAGTAAATCTTTTTATCTTTTTTATTTAACGAATTTTACGATATTTATTATGTCATATTTATATTGCTTTTCTTCCTTTCCTCTTGATTAACTAAATCGCACCGAGTCTTCATAGCTATCAATCTCCGAAGCGGTAGTTGCGTCGTTACCTTTCTGCAGATCCATCTCATCCATCTCCGTGTTGCTGATCTTCGAGAGCTCGTTCCGAAAACTCTTCGTGATTTTCTTGCGAATGTAATCTGCCTCAATCTCCTGCTTCGTTCTGGGCACACGAAAGCGAATGCAACAGCACAACCCGACGACGATGCTTAGCAGAACGGAGAGAACGATGCCAACAAGCTGCCAAATGCGAAAGCCCGGCAATGCCTCGTTCTCCAGCCACTGCACCATGTCCTCCGTATCCTTCGTAGAGGCTTCATTTGGCGAGCTGGAAGACATGGACGAGAACGTTGACAGCGTCGTCTCCTCCATCGCGTTGTAATAAACGTTTAAATTCCCGAAGGTATCTCAAATGAGATTTCAGATATCTCAGATTTGATATAATCCTCCTGTTTGCAATGTCGGATCTTATCCAAGAAGATAAAATCTTCTGTAATTTTCGATTATAGTTAATTAGTGATATAAACGTGTATTGTCTCGTCGGCCGGATTGTCTGACGCACATCTAATCCTCGGCAAGATTACTTCTGACTGCAAGAAAAATACATGGCTGTATCGAAGAGTTGGGTGTGGTTGCTTAATTGAACGACTTGTTCCGACACTCCCTATTTTACGCCACTTACTGATTACAGATCAATACTACAGGTGTGGGAGTATACTTTGTGTAGATTGTTAATATTGTTTTATTATCTCTCACAATAATCGGATGTATAGTCATTAGGTAGACGATAAAAATATCGAAAAAGGGAACAATTGCGCTATTATTTAACAGTACTTATCCGCTCGACAATCCGCTTATCGAGTCGAAATGCAATGTGAAAAGTTAAATGTTAATCTATCTTTCCCTCATTGATTTTTTTTTTATTTCAGTTACTTCTGGCGATTTAAATGTTGCTCTAAAAATTTCGCGACAAAATATAATCACAGATTTAATTGATCGAGAGTTTAAACATATTTTAACGTTTTTTTAAAGAATACTTCGTGATTTCGTCTAAGAGATATCATCATTACGCTAATCTGTATTCGATGTACTCGTCTAAACCAGACATAGTTCAGAATGTCGTAACGTATAATAAATTGTTTGAAGTAACAACCAGTGTAATATGTAACCGAATTCAAATTTCTTGAAGCGGTATCGTATTTGAGCCTTAAATCACTGTAAAAATCGGTAAAATGTTTCGCAACGAGCGATTTTTTTCGCAGTAGCAGTAACTGTCAACCATTAGTACACAGATGCAACTACAGCGTCTTCAAATATCCCTTTCTGGATAATCGAGACATTGTGTGATCCGGCAAAAATTTCCAATTCTTCTTTTCCATCTTCTCCCTTATTTGTTTAATGTGGCTTAACGTTTTAACTATGTCTTTTCGAAATATTGGGCACTGTTCGAGGAAGGTTGAAACTTAAAGCACTTAGCTCGCTTATAGCGCACGAATCGAAGAATATCTTGACAAGGAATCTCGTTCTTAAGACGTTCCAGACCACACTAGCCGCACAATAATTCTTTGCCCTCTTCTTTTGAAAAGTGTTAATACTTTCGCTTCTACGGTACGTTCATTCTTTTCTGATGAATGTTCGTCCCCTGAAAAAAAATTAAAGTAAATTAAGTAAATTACACAATAAATTTGATAATAGAATATTGCATTAAATTATAAGAATTTTGCAATTGATTTAAAAAGATCGAAAAACAAGACTAGTGTGAGAAAATTTACAAAAATATTAAAGAAATCTTCATTTCAATTATTTTGTCTGGTAATTTCATGAATGTTTTGAAGTATTTTAATAATTAATATAAAAAAATATGATCAAGTAACTAAATAAGTAATCATATATATAATTATAACAGATTTTAAAGTATTATAAATAACAATTCTATTATATATTGTTAAATTATTTATTGTGTATTTGATTCAATTTTTTATTTTTGTTGTTAATTTATTCTATAATGTTTTGCGAGTAAAAACTTACGTGATAGTCTTTTTCTCGGTATTTTTGGATTGGGATCGCGCTCTATTTAACACCTTGAGAAAATCTGTCGTCTTGGTACGCATTCTCGAGTGAATGTAAACTTTACTGCACTTGATATGATAGTGCAAATAATTCCTAAACATATGTATCAGGTCAATGGTGTTGTCACGTGCCTCTCGATTAGTATGACGTGGAAACAATACTGTAAAAATAGAAAATAAAGCAACATAAGTATAAAAGAAAAATTTGTCATATATTCAACTTGAAATACTTAGTAGAAAGTATTATATACACAAATATGCATCAATAATATTGATAACCTTTCTCTCCAGCAATTTTTAAGACAATTTCTTAAAATTTAGGGATTTGCTAATAAAGTTGCATATAAAATTTTGTATATCTTTAATATAAAATAGATAACTTAAATCAGAGTTTTCTAACAGAAAACTTTTCTTTCATTTTTCTTGGAAATAAATAGAAAAAATTACTCTAACATCGCATTGACATGATTTATCAAATGCAAACAATGTCAACTTTAAACTTTCTTCACCAAACGTGATGTAGCCAATGCAATCTCCGACCGCCGCCTCGGAATCTTGCAACTCCAATGGAGGTTCACGATGGTTAAATAAGACTTGCGGAGCGGTGTGACTTGCGCGCCTGCCCTCTTTCAGCTCTTGAAGAAATAATTTGCCAATCACCATATCATCCTCGTCCTTGAATATTGTACTGAACACTACTGTGACCCTGTCACTCTTAGCCTCCACATACCTTGATGAGAATTAACCATAATTAATAATAATAAAATGAATCATAAAATTTACACAGAAGTATTATTAGGCACCAAGATATACTTTGATCAAATGAAGCTCTCTTCGTTTACATTTATTAATCACATATTAATTTTTCATTTATCATCGTTAATAATAATAGAAATAACAATTGTATAGAGATTTCTTACATCGTTTCCTCATCTCGATATTGGATTACAGCTCTCTTCTGTACTGGCCTGCCTGGAGAATCGCAGTATTCTTCTTGGAAGTCGAAGTATTTCTCAAAGACACTGGCAAAGCAATGCCTCTTCAACAGGGCAACTTTTCTCACTAACGCTTCCCAATCTTCTGGTAATTTCTCTAGATCTATGAGAACTGATACATTATAACCTGTAACATCAGTAAACAATTTCAAGTAATTATATTTGTTCAGAAGCTGGAAAATGATTAAAAACAGGAATCTAACCGCTTTCTGGTGCAATAAGATGAGCCCCATACTCTCGTTTAAGTAATTCATCTGCGCCATGCTCTTGCAACTGTTTATAAAATTTGAGCAAGATACTAATCTACAAAAAAAGACGAATATATATTAGAATATATTTTAGAGCCAATTGTTCCATCTTTCGGTAAAATTTACCTGTTAAGTAAATCTGGCAATCTGCGCATGTGATTAAGTAATCTTGTTACTTACCTAACAGGTAAATTTTACCAAAAGATAGAACAATCGATCCTTAGGAAGTTATTTTAACAATGAAAAATGTTTATAAGTATATGTCCACAGTCCACTTACTCTAAGCTTTGACTTGTCTCCACTGAGATTTGAAATATGAAACAATACCCCATCAAAGTCTGCTATGACTACATCTGTTGACTCCTGCTTATGTCTATAAGCAAAATGTGTGTTACTAATCATAAATCTATTAATTTAAAAAGTCTATAACTAAAGCAGATAAGTCAAGAAGGTAAAAGTTGAATAAAATATAGGAATAAAATTTTAGAAACAAGTTTTTTAAATAAAAAGGTAATATAATGTGAAATAAAAAATACAAAAATAAACGTGATACAAAGAAAAATAAAAAAATCTATTTTTAAATTATTTAAAAAGACAAGGCTTTACAAAGATGACACAAAAATTAGGAGTTAAAAAATACTGAAAATAAAATTCTAGAGATAAGATATTCAAAATAGAAATGACACAAAGCAAAGTACAAAGAAACTTAAGAAAAGAAACAATATGAGAAAACAAATAAAAAAGCCAGAAATCTTTAATAATCATATCCCATCCCAAGGAATGTTCTAAAGAAGTCATCCACAGAATGTCCCAGAACATCCCCCTAATAAAGTATACCATGTGGATTAGAAAAGCGAGGTTTCGTAAATACGATAAACCCGGATGGGCAGATTAAAGAAGCTGAAAAAATACTCGAAGTAAAATCCCAAGAACGAGATCTCGAGGTAGAGGAGTGAGGTAAGATGGAACGAAACGGTCCATCCGAAAGGAACGAGAGGATGGAGAAAGAAGGAGAATTGATAGGTAAGAAAATCTAGATTCGACGTGTCACTCGGAGTAGGAATTTCTCGTGGAGAAAAACGGACGCGGCACCGCCCCGGCGCCACATCTTTCGGATTGAGGTTAGGATACGCGCCGATCGAGACGGGCACCGGGATGCTCGACAGGATCATGCAACACGCAAGACACTTACCCCGACTGGGCATTCTTGATTTTGTTCGTCAACGTTTCCTCGAGTATCCTGTTGTGTATCTCGAGTAGGATCATGATTACTATGCCTGGCAGGAAGAGTCAATACGTGATACGTGGCGATAACGATAACCCCCGGACAAATCGCACAAAACCGCGACGGATTTGTCATCCGTGCGTATGTATCAGTATGCAACACCGTTGACTAATACCCGCTGCCCGCCCAATCTCTCGCGTTCTGTCGATAAAACAGATAACAAGTAGATGCAACGCTCATTGCTGTCGGTAAAGCAGATTCGCACCCTTGAAACAGAAATCGACCCTTACAGATCAAAATTAATCTTTCAATTTTAAATACTAAAAAAAAAAATTATGTAATTAAAATAGTAAATCTCACATAATTTGAGAAATCATATAATGACATTAGAAATAGTTTCATCTATCATATGATTTTAAGTTATTGCCTGATTTATGCTTTCGGCCTTATAAGGGCTTAATCCTAAAATTCAGTCAATAGAGTTCAAATTTCGGTTAGAACTGGCAGCTTTATTGTTTGAATTTTAGGATCTTGGGATTAAGACCTGAAGCATATAAACCAGGCATATATCAAATTTATATATATACGAATCCTATATCGTATTTTATCGAGATCTATAAAATTTATACGAGATTCCTATAACATTTTATTAAAATTATTAATGAATCAACGAACCAGATTACATATATAAAACAATATAAAAATTTTCTATCGTTTTCTATAAATCTTTTTTTAATAGATATTATTATTGCACTCATTAAGAAACAGCTATGCTGATTTATTGCCAATTTCGCTAAATGTTCCAAAATATGGAATAATTTCAACGAAACTCAAGTCACATATTTTCATTGGCTATTAGAAATATATATGCAAGAGTACATTTGAGTTCTTTCCGCCATAAGCTGCTTATTCGTGGCGCTAAAAGTGTAGAAAGGTGCAACCGAGAGCAACAGGTGCAGTGTCACTGCGGCGATTACTCGTGAATTTAGCCGCGCGACTTTTAAATGACTGTTCCGTTACTTGCGACTCGCGCTAACTACACGGATTGTAACTTCGAGTGCATCGATCTACGTTGAGCTTCCTTGATAAATTGCGCGTTGCGTGTTACGCTTAACGTTTTGAATGCCATCGCAATGTGTCGTATTCTGATGAACGATACACGTACTCGCAGGTAATTCGTGTTCACGAAAGTTGAGCGTTAAGAAATTAGAGCCATGCGAAAATGGCTGTAGAGGAACAAAAGAGGAAGAAGCTGTCTGGGAGACACGCCGGCCGGAGAAACCATAAGGTGAGAAATTTATTATCGTGAGTCATTACAGATGTTGATTTAGCTGCATATATCAGCCAAAAAATATTAATTAATATTAGCTGTGTTTAGCAAAAAAAAAAAAAATTTATCAGTAAGCGCTCGCAGTGATCTTTTCTCTGCTGAATTCAGCCAATATCAATCAAAAAACTTCGTTGTAAATTTTGTTGTGTGTGTAAATACAAAAATACCACCTACAAAAAACAAAATACGTAATAAATTGTTTTTTGTATATAATAATTTATGCAGCGCAATTACCTTGTTTTTCTGCAGTTTTAGGTAAATAATTTTTAAACGAATAAAAATGGATTTAAGTAAACTCTCTCTCTCTCTCTCTCTCTCTCTCTCTCTCTCTCTCTCTCTCTCTCTTTTGTATGAATATTAGAGTTTTATAATTAATGTATATATAAAGAATTTGATTTTTATTCGTAATGCTACTTTCTCAATCAAATTTATAAATGAGTACTACAGAACACGATTTTATATAGGAATGAAGGCAAACAAAACTAAAATAATTTTTAAACCAATAAGAAAATTGTGCTTAAATTTTACACAGATGTAATAATAGAGAATAATATATATATTATTTTCATATTTTTGGTAATGCTTTGAGTTTGAAATATTTTATATATATCATTAAACATATAAGTACGCGATCAATACGTGCTAAATTAAAGTTGAAAAAGCACGTCACTTTGGCGAAAAATTTTCATAAATATTTCTTTATGAGTTATATGTCTAGACTTTCTATAAATTTCTAGATATATACGTATTGCTCATTTGGTTTTATGTTTCATTTGTATGTTTTTAATTAATTTGAATTAATTAATTTTATATTGATTTTAAATTACTTACTCGTTTTTGTTTAAATAATTTATTAGAGATTTGATAGAAACCTTTTATTTGAAAAGTTCTGTAAAATTTCTATTCAAAAAGAAAAATACTTTTTTTCTAAAATTTTAGTAAAAATCTATAAGTTGAAAGATTTAACGCCATTATTTTTCGAAATAGCTTGTAAATGTTAATTTTTCATTTTTAGTGCTCTTATTGATAATAATTAGGATTTTACATTTGTGTTTTGCAGGTCGACGAAGTTATAACTAACTTCCTGACATCGCATCGTACGTATACCAGTAAGTGTAAAATTATCTTCATTTTAAGTTGAAATCATTTTAATTATAAGTTTGTAATAACATTGCATAAAATATATATAAATATATGTACAGGTGTATTATACATTAAAACGATACAATATTACAGGTAATAATAAACTATTTTGTAAGTTCACTGCTTTAAAATCGACGGGCTATGAGAATGCATTAATACTTAAAAGCTGCAGTAGATATATGAATAAAAAATTTTTAATTTGTTTATACTTTTTATTGTATAAAAGAAGAAAGACGAAAAACGTTTAAGAGAATGCGTTTGTATTAATTTTGGTTTAAAAAACATGCTAACTTTTTGATTTATTACTTGCATTCGTTTTCTCTTATAGAACATGACCATTTTATGGACATGTTCGAAATCTTTCATAGCCTATTATATCGTTTCATCGATCAGAATCGTAACTGTACATAATGATTGATTAAACGATGGCACCGCCAATACGATAAAAAGCTTTAATGTTAAAAACATTAAAGGATCATTTGTATTATTTCTAAGACCGTCTTAGTTTCCAAAAATTCGTTGAGTTTCTTCGTGACAAGTTCAATAATCTTGCTTGTAATCCTCTCATCGCTTATTAACTCAGGTGCCATTTCGGAAACTATGGCACTCAATACTGTTGATGTTTCTTCATCGTTAAAAAGACCCGTTGCTTTAAACTGCATATAATAAAAAGTATTAGTCAGCGGTAGAAAAAGAAGAAAATGAAATACGAAGATCAGAATTAATGATAAAATTATTCAGTACGAATATCAGAATTAATGATGAAAATATTCAATTTGTATATACTCGAATAATTCACATATCTCCAGCATTCGAAGATATAATTGCGAAGATTGCGAGAAGAAAGAGTTTTTATTTACTTACATCTAGTTTTTGTAAAGAAAGGTCCAATTTTATGTCTTTTACTGTCAAGTATGAGGTTAACTGTTTGTCCCATAAGAAAGTAAGTACTGTATTGAGAACGAAATTATGCGCTGACAGACTGAAATTTGAATACATATTATATTATTAACTTTAATATTTCACCATCTGGATATATCTAGATATGTAGAAATGTCTATTTTAATTGCAACAAAGGTATAGCATTTAGTGACAAAATAAGTGAAAAGTATCTCATTATTTGATTCAAAAAGAACTCACTTAAAAATTTTTTAAATTAATTAATTTAGAAGTGAAAATTAATCAAGAGAAATAATCTTATTTTCAGTAAAAGTGCTTTGGCTAAAGTGATATTTATTGCAATAAGTTATTTACAGGTTTTTAAGATGTTTATTAGCATCATTATTAAAATTGATGATCAATTTAATTTGCGATATATCTTTAGTTTGCTTCGGTTTGCAATTGTATTTCAAATCATAAATTGAATTGATAAATTGTGTAATTAATAAAACTGAAAAAATGAATTTGCCAACATTTGTATATTAGTATTAATTAAGCACTAAGATCTATTTTGGTTGACAATAAGATTATTTCTCTTAATTGATTTATTTTTATTGGTCTAACTATAAATAATAAATTTTACAATTTTAAATCCGCTGCAATTATATTGATTTCTATTTTTACTCGTCAAGAATCGAGTAATACTTACTTTATGTTACCATCGCCGAAAACTTCGAAACTCTCGATTTTGCCTTTCATGGCATAATCAGTACTCGCAGTGACCAATGGCCACGAAAGATGAATAGCTAAGACAACATCATCGGACATGTCCAAATCCCCATTGATGACATTATATTTAGCTAAACCATTTGCATTGACCTTACTCAAATTCGCATTCAATCTAAACATATACAAAAAAAACATAAAAATTTACAATGTTAAAAGTATAAAGTATTAGAAAAAAATTTATAAATTTAATCTTTCAGCGGGTGCGCTCGTGTTCTCCGTACACGCGTGCCAGTTTTTTGTTCTATTTTTTTGTTATTTCATTTTCTAATATAATGTAATACTTATTTTTTTAAATAAATGATTAATAACCATTCAATATCATAAACTTTCATCGTATAATGTCTATTTGACGATATTATGCTTTAACTTTTCGAATCTCCAGTCTTATTCTACGGTATTCCCTGTACACTTTTCACTGGAAGGTTAATTTCGTAATACATACATTTTGTTTTTTTTTGTTTGTTTAAGTAAAATGACACAAATTATTAGCTGTTACTTCGAGAAAAAATTTGTATAAAAATATTGGTTAAACAATTAACGCTTTACTAAAAAGAAGATAAGTGAGAGTTACAGATTTATGACTATAAAATAGCAAACAAATTTGGATTAAAAAAAGACGGTAGATTATGAAATCGCTGCAATATTTACATAGTTTTGTAGGTTTTTTGTACATATTGTGGATATTGTGTAATAAAAGAAACGGTACGCACTTTATTACGTCCTCGTTAACGTCGAACGCAAGCTGGTCCGCTTTGTATGGATCAAGAACCGGAAGTCCAAGTTTCTCGTTTCCCGTCTCCAACATAGATTTTAACTTCTCAAGAAAATCTTCTACTATTTGATTTTTTAACGGCTCTATTAAATAAAAATAAATTTTACGTAAATTTTGCAGATAATATTTGTTATTCCATCATTAGCTTATGCAAATAAATGCAACAATTTATATTTTTAATAAATTATTATTATTGAAGGGAAAAATATATCTCGTATTTTTTTGAAAGAATACACGAATAAAAAATATTAAGTTTTAAAAATTAATATATATAATATTAATTATATTATTAATATATTAATAAGCTTAATAATTGATAAGCTTAAAGTCGCGGAAATTAATAATATAATGAAAGAATAATTAATTCAAAATAATAATCTGATAATACATTAGATTATTAAAAAATACGCAATTAAGATCTTTTTGTTAAAAATGTCTTTTATAAGAGAAGTATTTTTAATTTTAAGAAAAAATAATTAAGAGTGTCTGAAAACAAATAATTTAACAACAGATTGAAGAATAGATAATATAAAAATGAGAATGAAATAAATAGTGTAAATAATTTTAGAAAAATATGATTTAATGCAGTGATGCGCAACTTTCAACCAACAAGTCGCATGCGGCTTACCTGTGAATTTTTGATCCGCCAACTCATGGCTGGAAATATAAAATTTTATTTTCTATTTTACGCAAATGAAATAAACATTACGCGGCCAGAAAGGTTTCAAATGTTTCTAAAAATGTTATTCGGAAAATGATCCTTAAAATGTTGCGCATCACTGGCTTGGAGAAATGTATCTCTAGAGAAATATGGGAGAAGTACAGGGAACAGAAGAAAAAATATAGATATCTGCTTACCGTTTATTCTCATTGCCATGGCATTGTAACAGATCAGGATGAGCCCGAACACTACTTGCAGCTTCATTTTTCTGCGTGAAGTAGAAAACACGGTCTATTTAGTTACGTTGTTACTACAGTACCTGATAAGACTTAAAGCTAATAAATTCCTATTATTTTATTTTTATTATTAGCCAATATTATCGTAAAAGAACATCGCGATATTTTCGCATCTTTCTGCAACGCGGATATTTAACAGACACGGAAAAGCCGAAGGAAACTTATAATTTTAGTTAAATTAGTTAAATATAAATTTAGTTGACTTGTCACTCGCGTTTAGTATCTGGATATTTGAACTTGGAATTGTATATTTTTTATTATCTGTGAATACTTATGTAGCCTTCAAGGCCTAAAACGATCATATACTGTTTACGTACAGCTCGTCGTAAGGTGATTTACACTAGTATTCTGACAACCGTCCGACTTTGCGATTGTTTAGACAGCACAAACAAAACTGCGAGCTAAAGAAAATGTGGACGTATTTATAGGCACAATTCGCTGATATCGAATCAAGATCTCTTATTGATTGCTTATATCGTACATCGGTTCGACCTTTGTCCAGTTAATGAATTTGATTTCGTACGAAAATACGCAAAATTTCATGTTTTTCCGTCTTTCTTTCTCGTCGAAAAATTCCATTAAATTTTCTTGCAAACATGGAAGTACATATAGTTGTTAGTATAGCAGTTTTCACGTTGCGTCGTGTACATGCCTAGGAAGTGTAATTAACCACAATTATGTAATCACGATTAATTTTATTTTGGTGTGACGGGCTTATTTTCTTATAACGAGTCCTGTGACTCTTATCAAAACTAGAGATTAGACTGAAGATTAGATTATAAATCAGCTTGTTATGCTGCAACTTGTGTAATAATCAAATGATGTATATAAAGATAATGCACAATCTTGCCACAAATTAAAGTACTGTACGAATTTTTTTAATTGTGAATTGTTTTGTTGATTCTTTATTTTTTTCATATTCAATATACTAAAAAAAATTTTTGTAATATCTATATAATAATTATTTAATGATATACTTACTAAAGAAAGAAAACAATTTTTTGTTATATTAATCAAGTATTTAATTAGTATTATTTCACTAAATACTTGGTAGCTATTATCAAACTCTTTTTTCAGTATAAAAATATATTTTATAATATATCTGTATAAAATTTTTTTATTTCGTAATTAATTTTTTTTATGACAATTTAAATCGATTTAACAGTGTCAAATATTTGACACATTTGTAGAAATGTAAAAATCTGTCAAAATTACGTATTATCTGTTAAATAACTACTTATTTAATAAATTCTACAATTTGAATATCCACTAAATGAAGAATATACGCTGTAGATCTATATGTATATTTTATCTTGGTAGAAATTAATATCTTATATAAACAATGTTGCAGATAGCTTTATGAATTCGTAATGTTATTTAATTACTGCAAGTTGATAACAAAAATCTGGCTAATGTGATAAATATTATTGCATTCGTCAGACAGATATATTAGATTCGCGTACAATTGAAGTATATAAATAAATAATTTAATTTTAATGCGTATTGTCGCAATATTTTTATATAAAAATAAGATAGCGCGATAAAATGACAGGTGTCAAAATATCCATATATGTATATGTATAATGAAAAAGATTAGATTAATTGAATCTTAAATTCTTTTTTGTTTTTCCTCAATTAGTGAATTTTACTGAGTTATCTTTTTTTTGATAAAGGTGATATCTTGCGAACACATGTAGTATTTTCTATTCATTACCATTTTTACATATTATGTATAAATATATAAAAATATATTTACAAACTCATTTTTTAAGAAATAATTTTATATAAAATATGATATACATATAATATATGAGGCATGTTTTTTCTCTTTCGTACTTTACCATACATATATACAGTAAAAACATTTTATATTTATGTTGATCTACTCAAGCACTTATTAAAATTTTGTATTGCATTTTTAACATATTCGAGTGTTAATTTAACATAATATAATTATGTTATTTAAATATTTTATGTTAAATTGATATTTTTAATATTTTTTAGTGTCAAAATAATTTATGCATTACTTAAATGAATAAATAATATAAAAATAATATATAATTAAAACATAAATTCAGAGATAAATGAATAAAATGCTAGTTTATTTAACATATCATAAATATTTAAAAACTTTATTTTTTTAAATATTTTTACAGTTTGTTTACAATTTATGTTAGTATTATCTTTTTCTTAATTTTTTTACATATTTATGTTATTATCTAACATATTCATCTTATAAAAGTAGTGTCAAATTTTTATGTTGAATTAACATAAAAAATTTGAGTGGACCGTTTAAGATATGTGAAATGTGTTTTTAATACAGATTCTCTTAAGTATATTAAAAAGACGATGTACAATTCAAAATACAAACTAAAGAATTGAACATTAACGTTACAATTTTACATTAACAATATAAATATAATATTATATAATATTTTTAGTATTACGTAACAGTATAAATTTTAAAAAATACGACAATATAATATTAATGCTATGTTACACTTAATTGGTGTCGACTGGTATATTTTATTTTTAATATTAGTACAAAAATAACATAAAAACTGAAACGGGAATGTTATTCTAAAGAAAGAAGTAATCTTTTCACGCTTATATGATTTTTATACCTAATATTTTAATAGTATTAAATATTGCATTACAAAATAGTACATTACAGAAATAAATTTAACACAAAATATGCTTTGTTAAAGATTTTTTGTCTGTAACGAGAGATATTACCAACAAATGCTCTTCAAGTGCATTATTACTGTTATTATTTGTATCGTTCAACATCGATCGTGGTTGTAGAAATGATTGATTGAACGTGGCGCCGTGCAAACGTGGCGAAAAGATATTAGACATTTAGTTCTTTCCATATATCCATTAACGTTATAGTTGACAGATATTCGTTGAGAATTTGTGTAGCACTATTATTAATAACATATTCAATCGTCTTTTGATTTGCGGCGATGAGCTTAGGCATTACATTGGAGATTGTCTTGCTGATTGTCTCGGATATGACCTCATTGTTGTAGATGCCCGTTACATTAAACTGCGAGCGATAAGAAAGAAAATTTTATTAGAAATCAAGAAAAGTGAAAATAGTCAGTAACAAAAAATTAATTATGTTTTTTATTCCATACAAAAATGTGCGTGACATTATAAAGGAAACTTGTAACATAAGCTTACATTTACATGAGAAAATGGACAAAAAGATTCAAAATCTGAGATATAAAGTTGTAAAATGATATTTGATTTTTATTATTTTTTTTTTAACTTATACATTTAATTTGAAGTTTTCAAAATTATGTACATATTTTATTGTTCAGAAAGTTATTTAAAAATTATTAACGTAAAGTCACTTATTTTATATTTTATTTGCCTGATCGTTAGATCCGGACCCTGAAGATTATAATCGCAAAAAGACGGAGAGAGATAAAAGAATTGACAGACCTATAGCTTAATTACTTACGTCTAATCCTTCCAAGAAAATCTTTGTTGCTATAGTTTGAACTTGAATGTACCGACCAATCATTTTGAAACCAATATCAATAATAGTTTTGAAGTTATGCACGATTCCACTAAAAATTAAAAATACCTATTTAGCTTTAACGACTTTATGATCTCAAAGTTTTACTTTAAAAAATTATCGACATATAATAAAAATGAGAAAAGTAAATACTGAAATAGATAAAATGTAGCAATAAACATTGAAAAAAGTGTCTGATTATTTCCACCAAATATTGAGTGAAATAATTTCAAATGTTGAGTTATAATGATATAACTAAATATAATTTTATCTTTACAAATAATTATCTCACTCATATTTGGTGATTATATAACTATAGCCCCTTTTTTCTGTGTGTTATCTTGAAGGTAGGAACTTAATTATAAAGGAATAGTATTTAATGTGACAAAAAAGATAATTAATTGTTATAAATTTTAGAGATCAAAAAGATCTTTCTTCCTGATTTTGCGCGTGTTATAAAAATATTCGTTCAAATATAAATTTATCATTCAATTTAATGATGGAGCGATACATTATCTGAAATCTAAAAAAAAGTCCCGTTGAAATTTCCATCAAAGCAATCTCAATTGAGTTTCTCATTTGCTGAAGGCGAGCCTGACCACCGACCGTAAGAAAGCTGAACGCGAGATTGGCGCGATCGCGTGTTTCGCACGAAGCATATAAATTCAGTCACGATTTAATAACGCGCTTTGTCGCAGTTGGCGCGCTTGATAAAGTCGCGAAAGCGCTGAATGAAAAATAGCTAACTCATTGTCAGTCATTCCAGCTCTCGTTTTTTTCACGTACATATTTCGAGCATTGTAGTTAAATATAGATGAAACGGAATGAAAAACGAGTGTTCTTTATAAGGAAAGATCAGCGATCTTACTGCAATAATTACGATATAATAATAATAATTAATTATAATTATGAGTAATAAACAATTATTTACTTCAATTGCGATAAAGATAATTACAATATACATTGTTATGATAATAATTGAAACTAATACACACACATTCGTTGAAGATTCAAATTCTTCTGTCTTTTATATTACTACTAAATAAATAAAAATTGGTAGCAAGATCTTTTTTCATAGATATTAGAAAATCGCGAGCAAAGTATGATGATTAGATTCTCTCGAAAGAAACAAATACTTACTCTATATCTCCATTTCCATAAACATCGTAGTTAAGGGCGTTGCCTTTCAAGGAGTAATTATTACTCACGGTTATCGACGGCCAGTTTATATCTATGTTGGCTTTCATACCAATTAGTTTGATTTTAGCGCTGTTGACAATATACGAGGCCAAACCACTCATATTAAGGTTTTGAAGAAATCCCTCGATGCTGAAGGTACGAAGAAAAAATAAAAAATTTCCCGGTCGTCATTAACTTCGTTCTTAACATCGTCTAATAATAAACCGTTTACGATACGTAAACTGTCGTATCATGCATGATACTTATTAAATTAAGACATGTCTCTTCGCTAAACTGTATTTTCGAAATATACAGTGAGTTCAAAAAGTATTCGTACAAAAAGATACTTTCTTTTCAAGGAACTTTGTTTAAGAAATAAACATTAATTACCAAATTAGCAAAGAATAAAATAGGCTATATATTTCTTAAAATCATTTTATCTAAAAGGATGTGTAATAAAAATTAAAAAAATAGATTATTTTAATAATAAAATGAACAATTATATATTCTTTTGAACAAAAAAAAATACAATCGAAAAAATTAGTTTCTAAGATTATAAACATAAAAAAATACAATCGAAAAGATTAGTTTCTAAGATTATAAACAATTTTTTTTACGAAGAACTTTATTTGTACTAAGACGAAGAATGCACTTATAACATGTTAATTAAAGTTTATTTTCTATTAATTTTTTTATTGAAAAAAATCTCTTTTTTTACAAATATCTTTTTATTTTCACTGTATCTCTTTTTAAGTGTATAAATTCTATTGCATATATCACATATGGTAACAATTTAAAAAACATAATCAAATAATTGATTAAAAGCTTGTAATAATGATAACATCCTTTGTCGACCTAGGTATAAGTATATTGATTTAACGCGTTAGCGGTCGACGTGTTACTTTAAAAACTAAACTGATACGCACTTTATATCACCCACAGGAGTAGATAAATTATATTTGAGGGGCAGTCTGTTCACAATAAACGGATCCGAAACCGGAATTCCACATATTTCGAGCCCACTGGTTCCATTTTGCAGTGAAGACTTTAACTTTTCGAAGAAATTTTCAAAATTTGTTTTACGTGTATTAAGCCATATAGCTGAAACTAAACATGTGCGTCACGCAATCACAATACTAAATATATGTAGGAATATATATATATCGATATTAATTCCTTTTGTTTTTAATGGAATATTATCGTTTAAAAAAAGAACTAACAAAGTTTAGAAAAATGTGCAAAGCACCGAAAGATCTGTAGAATCGCGGAAATTAATATATATGAAGAATAGACCGACGAAAATAAAGCATTCATAAATAAACTTATTTAAACATATAATGTTTAAAATCTCTGTACCAAAAATCGAAATCCCATTCAAAACAGGCAAAAGAAAAATAGAATCTTCAAAAATAAGTGGCTTAAAAGTAGATAGATCGTTCAAAAATAGGCAGACATAGAATGTGATATAATTATAAGAACGATATATTTCCGAAGAATACTATTCGATATACGTCTAAACTAGAGAAATATTAGAAAAAAAGAAATACCGTATAGGTATCTACTTACAATTATCGTCTATCTCAATCGCCCAGACATGGCAACAGATCAAGATAAGCCCAAACGTTACGAGGTTCATTTTTCTGATTTCTACAAAGTAGAAAACACACGATTTAGTCGCTTTCGAAGACGAAGGGGATCAAGATATTTCTTTTAAGAATGTACATGTTACATCTAAAAAAAAAAAACATTACCAGGAATATACATATTTCAAAGATTGTTCTAATATATCTGAGTAGTTGTACTTAATTTTCTCATTGGTATAAAAGCACTAAAGAAAAAATTTAGTTGGAGTAAGTAATAATTCTGGTGAAAAATGATGAATTAGAATTTTCTGGTTAAATGTATTAATTAAGATAATTAGAATTCTAATTGATATAACTATTCTGATAAAAATAAGAATTCTAGTATAGATTTTACCAGAAATATTGTATCAACCAGAATTTTCGTTATTTCATCTAGAATTTGTTTTAGTGAGTTATTTAATGTTTTTGTTAGCCTCGATTTTTATGTAAAATCGCGTTTGTAGTAGTTATTTATAAATTGGATAAGATCATAGCATTACGAATTAAATCAAATTCTAGTAAATATTTGTGCAAGTTTATTTGGATCTATTTACTCGTTTACATTTAAAGTTATCTACCTAATGAGCTGCAGCAAAATATGATTATTTTAAAGACATTATAAACTGAATTTTGTTGTTTTATTTTTAAAAATATAATTGTATATAAGCTGTATATCTGTTAAACAAATTTTTGTCAATTTGCTATAGTAAATTTTATAATTCTATTATTGTTTCTCAGTACATTTATTTGAATATATGTGATAAATCGTTACCTGTTTATTTATCAGATTCTTACTTGCCCTTTTACATTACACAATTGTATTTTTGTAATTAAGAGTCCTGTACTTAATTAATGTATTTTATTTTTGCTTTCTTGGTTTCATCACTTGGTTTTGACAAAAATTTGTTAGCTAATATTAACTGATATTAATTTTTTTTAACAGGATTGATACTTTACATTGATATTGTATAATCAAAAATAGACTTAAAACCATCGAATTTACCACTATCTCGAACAACGAGCGTTTTCGCGACACGTGGAAATAGCGCACCTGGATATTCTTGATGGAGAGATTCTGGTAGATTCAGAGTGAGTCGGCAAGTCGACACTACAGATTATTCGGTATCGTACTTTTGGCGCTATTTATAGATACCCATGTTCCGTAGGGAATACGTGATAATTACGCACAATTTGTTTGTAACTTAAGTCGTTAGCAAATGTCGCGCAATTGTCCTCGCATTCGCATGACTTGTGACGTATGATAAAGAGTCGTACGAGTTGTAATTCAGAAAATTACCGCCTTATATACAGTCTTGGCCAAAAATTAAGTACCTTATTAACCATTATTTAAAGTTTTAGCTTAGAAATAACATTTCCTGTAAATTATTCTTTGTTTCAAGAACCTTTTTTTTTACTTATGCATTATACAATACCGATAACACCGACACTGAGATAAAAATATGCTAAATAATGTTATAATTATTTTTTTTAATAAAAGTGTCTTATTAAATATAAACGTATATTTATTTGGCACACAAGAACCATAAATTTGATTTAATTATTATTTTTTATTTAGCAAATATCTATTTATTGAAAATAAATGTTATATTAGAATTATTCAAACAATTATTTATTAAAATTTATTACATTTTTCTTTCACTAAGTAGATAACAATGCAGATAAAAGAATTCCAGATGAATAAAAAGAGTGCCTAATATTTTTGGCTAAGGCTATAAGTATGGTAGTCATTATCGGGTCTCTTATCAAGTACATTATCACACAATTTGATTATTCCAATCGACTTGAAAAATTTAGATTACGGAATCGAATTTAGGCAACATGTATTTCTTTTCTCTTTTCTTACTTTTCCGTTATCTTGCATCCGAGATTCAAGGATAATTATTGTAGTATAGCGATATTGCCGTCTTTCTTTGTTTTCGATGATTCATTTCTCATGTACTTGAAATATGCACTCGAACGTAATTTATTGTTGTTAGTTTCTGTTTACTTTTCACAATAAATCACGCGTATTTTTTCTTTCTCATTGAATCCCAATGAAAGTGGAGATTAGATTGTAAAGCATCTTGCAACTCTGTAATCTCTGTTTAATCTTTGAAAACAATTCCTTGATTTACTGAGATTAAGTGTCTGTTTATAACACGTGTACCGATTCGTAGATTATTGAATCGATTTTTAACGTTTTTATTAAATAGATTGACGATGCGCTTTTCCTTTGTACTGAAAAACGTCGAAATAATTAAATTATCAGGGAGGGTGTCAAAGAGATGCGCCACAAGCGGAAATTTCGCTTACGACTAGTGTCCATTTAAGAGACATCCAATCGAGAGTCATCTTTAAATGAATACGAAGATTAATAGAGAGAATTATTATTCTTTTACTTTATTTATATATCGCATTCTTGTGTGTATAGTATATATATATATATATATATATATATATATGTGTATGTTTTTGCTCTATTTTATTTGTACATTATATAATAGTATTATTATACTATTATCATAATTTTATTGTTATTATAATATTTTATGAATCTATTTTACATGTTGCATTCTCTCTCTCTCTCTCTCTCTCTCTCTCTCGTGCGTGTGTATTATTTTTATATCAACATTTATGTTATTAATCATTTATTTAATAACAAATATATTTTAGTACATTTTTGTATTTATACGTTGTACAATAGTATTATAGTTTATCATAACTTTATTCTTATCACAATGTTTTTTTTAATATTATTTTACATGTATATTTTCTCTTGTATTACTTTCATATCAACTTATATTATCAATCATCTATCTAATAACAAAGTATATATTTTACTTTATTTTTTATTTATACATTATACAATAATATTATTATAATATTATAATTTATCATAATCTTTTGTTACAATATTTCTTGATACTATAATATTTGATATACATATATTGTAATACTTTACACTACTATATTATTACTCACTATTGTTATTCTATTAAAAAAACTGTCCTTTTAAATCCGTCGTGCCGACGAGACGGGTTGGAGTAGAGCGACGTAACGAAGAGCGAGAGAGAACGGAGAGGGTGATCGGGTGGTTGATGGCAGGGTGGCGACGGGCTGTGAGGTGGGTTGAGGGTGCTCGGCCGGTGGCGTAGCGCGGGGTGTAAGAGAGAGTTGGAGGGATGTGAGAGAGAAGGGATGCCAGGCCGCCCGCCGGTTCACCCTCACTAACCCGCGGCTCGCTCGACTCTTCAGTGCGGCCTGAACGGTTAACCGGCCTACTTCTCTCTCTTCCTGCACTTCGCCGCTTTGGTCCCGCCGCTGCCAACCCTCGTCGTCGTAGTCGTCGTCGTCGTCGCGACGTCGTTGCACCACCGTCGTCACAACGCTGTGGGGCCTGCTCGATTGGTGTAACCTGTCGATGTAACGTTGCGAGAGGAACGCGAGATAAGAAACCGCTAGAGAGAGAGAGAGACTCTCTCGCTCTTCCTTTCTATCTTTTTTTCTCTCTCTCTCTCTCTTTCTTTTTTTTATTTGTCTTTTCTCTCTCTTATCATCCGCGAGCGGCTCGCAGCCTCCGCATCAATTCGCCGCTGCGGACAGCCGGCCTAAAAGAAGAGGAGAACAGTTCGCGATCACGGGGGTGGTTTTCCTCGGTAGTGGTGTTCGGGACTGTGACTCAATCTCGCTCGTGAGTAGTAAACGGGAGAGTAACGTCGGAGAGTTAGGACATTCGGAGGAGATTATATATATATCTCTCTCTCTCTCTCTCTCTCTCGTTGACGACGACGTTTCGCCAACGGACGACGACGAACGGACGCTACCCCGCTCCACCGCGGGAAGCCGTAAGTCTATCTCTCTCTCTTTCGTCTCTGTTCTCCCGTGCTGTGTGCGAAGATCGATTCCCCTCTCTCTCTTTCTCTCTCCTTTGTCCCCTATTCCTCTCCCTTTCTCTCTCTTTCGTTTTATTACGCGGGCTCGCGTAAAAGTCTCTCGCTTCCACGCGCTCCGATCTCGCCTCGCCTCGCCTCCACTTACTTTGTTTCTTTCTCCATCGTGTCACCCCCGCTCTCATTATGTTCGTTATCTTCTCCGCGCGGCCCCTGCGAAACGCGACGCAGAAGGCCGTGGCTGTCGTAGCGACGGCGGTGGTAGCGTGGCGAGCCGTACCGGGAGAGAGAGCTGCGTGGATCTGCGTGGGGCTGCGTAGATGACAGCTGCGGCGGGGGTGGCCTGACTGCTGACGCGGAGCATCCGCGGCTCCGGATTCTTCCAGCGATCGTCGCGATTAAAATCGAAGAATTGGGAGCCCCGATCTCATGCCAATCGCGAGACGAGTGCCTAGTTTTCACTCTTAGCGAAGTCCTGTCAGGAAACTTCCCCGCATCCCCCACCACCCCATTTTCTCCCATTTTCTTCTCTCCCGATCGAATCGTATTACAGAGATCGCGAGATCTGCGCCGAATATCCGCGTCTACCTTTCGCAAATCTTTGCTAAGCGTGATTTCTTGCTTTATTCTTTTTTTTTTTCCTTTAACTGACTGAGCTCGTCCGAGGCGATTTATAATGGAATTATACGTAAGACAGAAAACATTTGAATAATCGGGATAAGCAGTTGTACAGCAGCTGCCAAAAATTTCCGATTAACTATAATTTTACAGGTAATTTTTATTAATCTATTTTTCAGTTTCTAAATTAATAAAAATCTTATTATAATCAATTTAAGATCACGCTATTTTAAATACTAGTGTATGTACATTAACATATTTGTATGTCAGAATTGCTACAAAATTAGAAGTTAGGGAAATTGAAAACAGTCCAGGAAATCAACGAAAAGTTTGGGAATTTTGCAAAATTTTCTGGAAAATAAAAATTCTTAGCTTCAGAAAGATTTAATTACATATCTCATATCTTGCGCAGTTTTTATAATATTACTAACTTAACAATTAAAAATTTTAAATAATAATTTATAATTATTGTATTAAATAGATCTCTCAACAAAATATTTAATGGTTTCCAAATCAGGACGAAAATACAAAATATTTTAAATATTATTGAAAGTTGGGGAAGCTCATGAAATTTCGTTTGGAAATCAGGGAAAAGTCATAAAATTTTAGAAAGAAGAATTTGTGACAAATCTGTCTTAATTTTTTTAAAAGATTTTTTTATCTGTCAATGTGAACAATATAATAAAATTTATTGGTCGGAAACTTTTGGCAGCCTTTGTATATATCGTGTATCCTATATAATATATACGCGCGTGTATATGTACAGAAAATGTACCGCAGAGGATAGATACATGTTTCGAAAGGCTTCATCACGGATTATAAATTAAAATCAAGCTCTAAAAGCAAGTAATTTTCCAAATGGAAGACATTTGTATAAATACGCGTGCGAGCCAAACCTCAACAGTTTTTCACAACTATTCTTCCAATAAGGCTTAATTTCTTTTTTCTCTGCGAAAAAATGTACTAAATTTTTACAAATATTTATTTAAACAGTGCTACATTACAGTAAATAAATATTTACTTAATAAAAAATGATTGTTAATAATTTTAAACAAATTAAATAAAGTATCTTTTTTAAGGCCGTAATGTGAATACACAAGAAATAGGAAATAGAGACTTCAAACGGTCTTAAAAAATTATTAAATTAAATTAATAGTTTCGTATAAAATAGATATATTTTTGTATTTAGTAAGTATTTAGTTGGTACTGTTTAAACGAATGAGTAATTAAAATTTAGTACGTTTTATTTCGACGTGTATTTATTTATCCATTTCTGTCAAGTGTGAAGTCGTAAAAGTGCAATTTGGGAATCTCGTCGATTCGCAAACTTGCATAATCCCGTGCATGGTATTAATGAACAATGTCTGTCGATTCATGTGCCCACTCTTTTAAATTATAGACTTTTACGCTCTTTCTCTTTCGCCAAGTACGTAATAGGCGTAGGCGTTTCTGATCGGGAAAAACTTCGGTTTGTACATTCGCAGACCTTTTTAATGTGCGCATAACGTATCGGGTAAACTCTCTTTTAATTTCGTTTCCTTTTTTTTTTCCTTCGCCGAGCACGCGAGTGCGGTTAAGTGTCCGTTCTCCGTT